GTAATAGAAAATTTTAAAACAAATGAAACAAGATTAGCATAGGCCATTCCATTAGTATTTCTCCTCCCAAACAGTTCAGTCCCGATTATATTTTATATCCTCATGGAATTAAAGCACTGTACTTGCTGGCTGCAAAGGGAAGTTAGATCAGGCCACTGTTTGTGGACGATTAACTTGCATTTCCTTTCAGACTAAATGTATATGCTGGAATCCTTTGGAGCCACAGACAGACTCTTTTCTTATGGGGAATTTGAGCAACGGAATGCACGGTTCAGTACTTCATCTTAGGTGAAATAAACTGCAACCACAGACACAGACAAACCAAGACATTCATGAACACTCACAAATCTATATAGTTTCACTGCATGAGAGATGTTGCTGACAAAATATGATGAGGGAAAGTTGTGGGACTCTGAGATCTGTTTCTCCCATGCACTGGAAAGGGCTGCTTGCTAATGTCTGTGTCACCAGCCACTAATACATCCCTCTCATGGTTGCAAGGCAGTTCAACAGTGCTATTCCTGCTCTCCATGTTGTAATCATTTGCTGCTGGTTGTCATCTCCAGAGGCTCAGATCCCCCCAGCTTTAGTCACTGAACAAAGGCAGCTGGGTTGGGAGCAATGTCACCTCACACTCAGCAGGCAGGTGGAAGAGGTGCCAAGTGAGAAGCAGCAGCTGCTGCTGAACTCTCTCTTACAGGACATGTAAGACATTCTGTCAGAGGCAGAAGCAGCCCGTGGTGACGGCACTGCTGACTTAGCCACTCCCTGAAGAAGGATGAAGCCGTCTAGTGCAGAGTTATCTATTTTGCTCATGCTGAATAATCTTCTTTTGGCCCTTCTTACACCAAGCAATTGGTACACCTGTGGGCTGCAGCTCCTGTTCCTTATCCCTGCTGCTACACCCTCCCACACTCTGGAGGAAATTCATAGATGTATCATTACAATTTCTTAGAGTGAAACGACCCTTAAATAAAGTAAATGTTGGGAATTTATAGTGGAACTCTTTTTGCTGCTGAAATATGATGAAAACCCTATTGGTGCATTTTATTAAAAGAGCTTGAAGATAAATTATATGCTGCTCTAATGATGACAGTCATGCAGATTTATATTATTATTATAAATAATTATACAGTTATTCAAAGTAATTTTGTTATTTGACTTTCAGGGGCTTATCACACAAAGGAACAAGGGCAGTGGCCTGATCTTTCATATGAAAGATAAAGACACTTAAACTATCTAACCAGCCACTTCACTATGCATGAAGAATAAAACCATTTTTATGCAAATAGAATCTGAGACCAAAATGTCTTTTTCCTTCACCTCCTTTCTACTTCATTATTAAATAAATCATAAAGATGTCACTGGAGACCACATAGAAAGAGGTCTCAAATGGTAGAAATAAGACTTTCTGCATTTGTCTATTTTTAATTTCAAAAGGTATTCTGAATTAAAAAAGAAAGAGAGGGGAAAGAAAGCATAGTGCTCTTCACATGCCTGATTTCCCAGGAGTAAAAACAACCTCTATGTCCTTTATTAATGATACAACAAATCTTCAAAAACAAACACAAGTAAATGAAGATTAAATGATGATCCATGAACTTAATTGAGATTCACATCGTCCAATGCTCTTCAAATTCAAATTACTACCACACAGTGAATCCTTTTGGCTAATTTATGCAACTAAAGTCTTTTGAGTCAGAGGCTTTGGTCTTCAGTAAGTAACGTTAAATATCCCAGTCATAATACAGAACTCTCTGTAGATCAGCCATATCACACTGAAAATTGAACACACATATATGTCTTACCTAAGAGTGCTACAGATTTAGAGCTGGAAGAACTAAGTCATGGATATTGCCTACCAAAAAGGGGTTACTCCAGAAGAGATGTTACGGAATAGTTAAGGTGTAGATTACAGAGTTTGTGTTTGGGACAACTTCACTTGGTAGTGAAGTTCTTAGTCCTTGATCCTGTGGATATTTCAGCTCTTAATGTGACTTAAGGAACAAAAGCCTTTGTTTAAATTGTGTGGGATTCCTGCAAATGCTGCATTTCAGGGTCATGATTGGTACTCCATGTTCACTGGGAATGTGGGAGAGATAGCTCTGACCATCTGCGGTGGGACTTGAAGGGAATGTGGGGGTGTTCTGTGTGAGCTGGGGTGTGAAAGGACCCTTTCCATTATTTCCATGGGGACCTCTGAAGAGTAGGGCTTGAGCCATCCACCCAAGGGAGTACAAGTGATTTGCTTGCCATGCTAATCCTGGCAGCAGGATTACTCAGTGGATTTGTTTTCCTGACCTTAACCCCTCTGATGGCAATCATTACTCTCCAACTCTTCCTCCCCGACTAGTTGGACTGAGCAAGCTTGGTGTTTTTCACATCTGTCAACCAACAGGTTCTCCATGCTGCTGGTCATCTGAACAGCAACTGAAATACAAGCCCATATATCTGCAACAGTAAATGTCTCTTTTCATTTTGAACCAGGGAGATGCAATGTTTAACCATGCAGGAGTAAGCTGAAGAGTGGCATTTGTGAGGAGGAAGAAATTACTTAGGCAGCTCGTATTGTGAACTAGCATGATGTTTTTGGATAGGAAGAAAGGGAAAAAATCCTTTAAAGCTATGTAGGAACATCACCAGATGCACTATTTGAACTGTTAGTTAATGGTAAAATGAAATATTTCCTACCCATGAAAGTACAAATCATGTATTGAATCAGATTCCAAAGATGATGTAGTATGATAAGAAATGCCAAAAGTGTTGTGCAGAATGCTAACTCCTGTGAGAAAATAAGAAGAGTGCTTCACCAGTGTTGTCATCACATGAACTAGTCATTATCACTATGTTCCGTGAAAAAGCTCTGTTTCCACAGCACTTTTCCATGATATACTTTAATTAGAGGAAGGGACTAAATACAGTGGTGTGAAGAACATCAGCTGGGTTAAAAAAAAATAAAATAAAAAATAAGGGAATATAGCATTTCAGAGTGGGTTGTGTAAAACCACATGCAGGAAAAATACAGAGCTGAAGTTCACATACTTGAAAATGATTGCTGCCACATGACAGCAGTCATTTCCTTTGTTACATAGACAGAGCTCAGCTTAGATCCTTAAATCTGACCACAGCATCATCTCACGGCATCACCTCACTTGGTCACTCTGCTTTTTCTATTCTTCTGCACTTTTCTGCTTCTTGTGCTTTCCTATCTCTTGCTCTGTCTCCAGCCCAATGGCAATCCCATCCTCAGCTGTTTCCCCTGCTCCTTTCTCTCACATCACCAGAATCATGAGCTACTCTTCTCAACATCCTCCTCCTTCTTCCAAAATGCCAGTGTCACCTGTGACCTGGGAAAATATTGAGATGCAGCAAAACTCACATACCAACAGGAACTGACATTTTTCCTATGTGCCTGTTTTTGCTCCTGGTACTCAATGAAGAAAGCTGGGTACCAGGCTGCTGTTGTTTTTCAGATAGCTGCCCACATCAATCAGGAAATTAACCTAGTACTGAATTTACCTACCTATGGTGAGGTTAAGCTGCCTGGTCATCAATGTAACTGATAAGAAGAAACAGCACCAATAAATTTCACTGTGAATTTATTTTTTGCCAGCTCATTTTGAATATAATTAAGAAGATAATGTCATAGTAGGTTTGATAATTTTAAAGTACTTTTGTTTTTAATTCCACTCAAATATTCCCAAATCAAACCCTGACTTGAAAAATAGCCACTGAAATTTAGTGGCAAAATGTTGCTTTTGTTAAGAAAGTCAGTGAAGTCAGCCACCAAATTCAAGTGTCACTGACTGAAACCTCTAGCAGAAGATAAATGCCCCTTTTATCATATGTCTGTGAACTCCTTCTCCTAACTTTTTGCCTGGCACATGATTGTTTATCTATTGTCTTACAGTCTGTAATTGTTGACTATATAGCTGCTTATATACGCTATATAGTCATATCCAGACTTAAAGGAAACAGCACAAGATACTTAATACCCACTTTTGCTTTCTCTCTCTCACATAAACATAATCTCCCCTCATTGCACACATACAGGTAAGAGCTTTGTTAAAACATGTGGCTAGAACCTGTAAATTATGATGGTTTGATTTACAGAGTGCTGCTCATGGGCTGGTCACCAGACACTGGAGCTGTAGTGTGCAAATCCTTGCACAGCTCCCTCAGCTCTGTTCCTTATATCTTTGGCCCATGTGGAGTTTATAAACATGTGCTGAAGGAGGATTGCTCAAATTCAGGTTATACCAACTCTAATATTGTCATTTTAAGGAAAACATCCTCTGTACTCAACACATCAGTATCTGTTATCCTATCATGCTGCTGAGTGTCTAACACTGAGCTGAAATGTATTATCTTCATGCTCTCTTTTAATCAAGTCTCAAGAATCCTTGGAACAATCCCTCTGCCACAGATCTGAACCCAGGAAATCAGACTCCTTACTGAGCGGCAATCAAACGCACAAGAAGGCTCTGGGTGTTTGCATAGCTTCGTGCTCACATGGGGGAGGACTCCAGGTGCAGCCACAGAGCTGCAGAAGGCGAAGCCAAGCCATAGCTGCTCAGCCAGTCATGGTAGGACAGCACATACACAGACTGTCAGCAGGTGATGAGAGTAATCTCTTGCACAGGATTTCTCTGTCACTAACACATGCAAGAATCTGATGTGCAGAGACACCACTGGCCTCTCCAATAGCTCCTGTGCATGAGTAACTTGGATAACAGCTGGCACAAGCAAGGTGCACTGGCAGGTAAGCACAAGCAACCACCAGCATGCTGCTTTGAAGCTACAGTCAGCTTGTCACATATTGAAACCATCTATAAATCCAGTGGATTTGCTGAAACAACAATTTGTGCTGTTTTCATATTTTTGAAATTGTTCTTATTCTTTAGCATGCAGAGGAAAATGAAGTCACATTTTCCTTAACAACTGCTGTTCCCGCCTTGCTGCACGTCACAGCCCTCTGGGGTGACTTCGGAAGCACTGACCTTGGACATCGCTGCAGTGGCATTACTTTCCTTACCACTCCCTGGTGCATTCTCCTCGATTGTTGCTGCTGTCGGGGCTTCTGCCTTCTTTGCACTTGTTTCCAGAGAAACAGGAGTCCCTACTTTCCCCAGCCCACTCACCGGGGTTGAGCTTGGACTGCTTGGTCGCCGTGATTGGGACTTATACCAGCTAGGGTAAAACAAGGGATCGATGGTTTCAGCTGTGGCCGGCACTTGAGTGTCAGACTCAGGAGTCTGTTGAGAACCACTTGGTGTCACAACAACATCCTTAATCAGGACAGATAAAGAGAAGAACAAGCAGAGTGCACCACGTTACCTTCCTGCTGTAGCCACATTGTTCTGCATGTTGTGTTTGTTAGATATAACTGCAAGGCATAGGTTTGTTCTACTAATAAGATCTGAAAGAATTGCAATCAAAATTCTAAGCAAAAGTAACTATCATTTGAATAACATAAACAAGAGAAAGAAGATAAATGAGCCCAACAATAGAACAGGACTGTAGAACTAGCTGGGAAAGGGGTGCTAACTGAGAAAGAAATGAGCAAGGGGTCCCTTAATTCAGATAAACCATCAATTCAATTCTAAAATCTTAAGGAATTCTATGTAAGAGCTTCATGAACCCATACCAGCCACGAATAAGAGGTGTAGGTACCTTCAAATGGCTTGTTGGGTTTTAGGTTAAGAGTAACACTTTTGCCAGTGAGTCTGTTGATATGAGCAGTCAGAATAAAGGGAATACTGGAGAGAAGCATTTGCCCACCGTGAGCCTTGCCATTAATGCTGTAAGCCAAGCACTGTTGCTGTGCTAGGAAGAAGAGCAGCCAGATGAACTGCACCTCTCTACCTGCATCAAGCTCTTGGGGTTTCTGCACACAGTCTGCTATCACCACTGCATTTCTGCTTTGCCTTTTTACACCAGAAGGCAAAAACTCAAATACAGGTATCCCCTACACCACAGCACTCACAAACCATGTCTGTCTTTATGCCTGACTATCTCCTAATGGCATTTTACAATGTCTAGAGCAGCATGCTGTACCTTTCTCTATTTAGCCTTAAGAAATTACAGAATTCATGTTGGTGGGCAGAATTGCTTATGTCTAGTTCTTGTTTGAATAAAACCTTGCATTAGTTAGGGAACACAAGTTTAGTTAAGTCACTGCAAATCTTCAAATTTTGATTAAATCAGTAAAGCCTAATTTAAGATCTTCACATGACTGGTGAAAACTCACAAAAGTTTTTAGATCAAAGAAAGAATGAATCTATAGTATTTATTTTCACTTGTTTTATGTGGGGAGCTTGCTACAATCAAAGATCCTTTGTGTGCTTTCTTGCTTTCACATAGGCCTCCTCAAATATATTCACAGTAGCCTTTACCCCCTCAGCAACTTCACTGAGTAAATTGTGTAAGAGGAGACTTTACTAAGTCAATGGTATGCAAAGCAAACTAAAGTAGCACATGAAGTATATTTTTAAATGTACATCTTTTAGAATATGCAGTAATTATGGTCTCATTCTAGTCAAATTCCCTAAGAAAAGTGTTGGCTTAAAATATTCACACCCTGAACCTGTTTGCTGTTAGGTTGTAAGAGGCAGTTTCCTCTCCTGTTTGGTATGATATTCTTGCATCTACCTAGACATATCCCAAGAATGATCAGAGCAGAAGGCAGCAAGCACCATTCACAGAAAACAGATTAGAAGTATAATCTGAAAACTGGTGGTGGAAAGCCTCCAAAATCCAGAGGGAATACCAAATTCTCTTAGTATAAATATTTTAAAAATAATCTGATTTATAACAGTTAGTCTGAGTTAAATCACAGCAGGCAGAACATTTGTTATAATGCACTTAACTCCCAAACTGAGTCCTTTTTATTTATAACTTATGTATCCCATATATATATCTTAATTTATCTAGCAGCTAATTTTTTGCTTATCAAGTCATACATGCACAGGTTGAAGTAAAGTTTCATATATGGGTACAAGGGCAGTAAATAATTTTGCCCTCCAGTGCATCAACTCCCTTAGCCCTGCTCCTGACTTGGTGCCCACAGGGCACAGGGGAGCATTTTCTGGCTCTGCCAGGTGCACTCAGCTTAACTGGCAGGTCAGTGGGACAGCAGAGACATTTACCTGACCAGCTGGGGCAGCTGGAGTGGGTTCAGCCAGCAGCTCTCCCCCTGCACTCTGTGCTTCGGAGTCCTGCTGAGGTGGCTGTGGTGCTCTCTCCATGCCTTCCTCTTCCACCTCTTCCTCCTCTTCCTCCTCTCCTGATGACTCTGTGTGGACTTCACCCAGGCCTTCGCCATCCTCTGTCTCCTCCTCTTCTTCTTCTCCCTCCTCCTCTGATAAAACATGTGCAAAAGGACAGGTTGAGCACCATGTGGCTTCAGTCTTTAGGTAATTAAAAATCCATTTGCAATTGCACAGCAAAGTCACTGACAATCTGCCTGGCAGAGAGGAGCCTGCTCCCACCAGCCTGGACTGGGCACTGCCCTGGAGCTGCCAGCAGGATCTTTGGGGCCGAACACACATGCTGGTTAAAATCTTAAGATGGCCCTTTCCATGGGAAGGAGGACAGAAATTCCTGTCAATGCAGTTATCCTCATGAGGAATGTGCAGCACAGCCCTGCGTGTTTTGGGGACAGGCTACCTGGGATCTGGCACAATCTGTCATGAAAAATGTCCTTCTTCCAATTCTAGGTATATGTTTAATGCCATTGAAGCTGTCCTCACAATTTTTACCAGGTCAGTGGTTGGCAATGCATGACTGGAGGTTTGAGATACCAACACGCCTAAACCAGATGCTCAAACTGGATCAGACTGTTGCTTTTGTGCCATTTGACATATCCTGTGGTCTGCAGTTGTGGCTCAGGTTGTTTCCAGAGGAAGGTCTCTAGCAATGGTTTTTCTTTAGTATAATCACACCAGTTATCCTAAAAAATATGCAGAGGCATCCTAGCACTTCAAAGAAATAAACCTAGATTTGATTATAATTGATACATAATGCTCTGGTTACATTTTGGCATAGAGAGAAATATCTGATTCGAGGCTTCCTACTCAGTATCATCATGTGAATCAAACACAGCTGCTATTTAAGAAAGAAATTTTGGTGAATAATAATAATAAATAATAAATTACATACCTCTGTCAAAATCAATTTCTCGTATTATTTTTTCTTCTCTACTAAGATTCACTGTGAATTGGTTCATATTTTCATACCCATCCTCTATTTTTTCCATTTGAAATCCTTTAGAAGCTTCAGTAATTCTGAAATTGAGACTGGTTATTGGCATTGGATTTGAAGAGATATTTATAAATTTTAAGTGATTATAAAAAACAAGAGTCTCAAGTTTAAATACTTACTTTTGTAGCAATGTTTTGGCATTCTGTGGAAACAAAAAAGAAATAACTGATTCTCAAATGAATCAATTTTTTCAGATATTTTATGCACTGAGAAATAGTTCTTACACTGGCAGCTTTTAAAAGCTAGTAAGGATTTCATAACTGACAGCCATGACATCTAGGAATGAGATGGAATTTGGAAGGTAATTAGTATACAGTTCAGTAAACCGTTTAGTTCTCCAAAGGTAGTTTAATTAAAATGTGAATATGATGGGAAATATGAAAGTTGGTTAAAAAAAAAGAGAAATATTTTTCCTTTGTGGTTGTGTTTGTGGTGAAAAGAATTTGGTCTGTTACCATTACCCTCTTTAGTCACAGTAATTACATCTTTGATTATCCATGAGGGCAACCTTTTGGAGACAACAAAATTCTGTTTATTTGCCTTGGAATACTATTGTACTATTCAAAGGCAATTCTTTGATGAAAGTAAGTGTTGGTTGTTTTATTTTGGTTTTGTTCCATTTGGTAGAAAATGCCCTTCCAGCCTTTACTACAGAGGAATTGTAAACTTGCAAGACAGAAATTCTACACCAATGAATTCATTGGACAGGCTGCTAATGATTTCCTACTCATCTTGCTTAAGTTTATAGTAAGAAAACAGAAGAAAAAAACCCCAAAAAAACTAAAAGCATAAAAATGTAATTTAGCACATAAATAACTGAAAAGTTAATTTTGTCAATTTACAAGTGAAACCTATAATTCTCAGAAGTTCATATACACATAAGCATACTGTTCCCCGATGATATTGATGGGAAAATAAACATTAGCTGGAAAAAGTTTCAATTCCTATTTCTTCTAAGGGGACCAGAAATTCATACACGGGATAGTATATTTTGGTGCAAATAGCAAATACTCATGTTCTTGATTTGGATACTGCCCACAAGAAGAGTAGTTATTTGTCTGAGCTGATTCAGGTGTTTAAAAAATGAGTTTGTATAAATGTTCACTTGAAGATTAACAAACTCTGAATGGGTCTACAATTGAGAAATACTTATATATCAATAAACACATCATTATTTTTCTATCTCTATTTATAGACATTATACCTGCAAAAACACAGCCATTTCTGGTTCTTCCATGAACTGGATTCCTGATTCAACTAGTTTTGACACTGCTTCCAAGTGATCCGCGTACTTCTTCATCAGGGAGCGGATGTGTTCCAGTTTCTCCTCTTGGGTTCTAGTGATTATTTGTGTCATCTCATTTTTTCTTTCTTCCAGTACAGAATAGAGATAATCAAATTTTTCACACAACTGTTCTTTCTGTCGTCTGCAGCATTCCTGTGAATCATTTGGTTTATGTTAAACATGTTATGTTCTTAAAAGGGTTTCTATTTTTACAGTTACTTGGAAGCATTTTCATAAAAGAAATTTCTCTTTCTGAACAGTGCAAAGGATTCTGAATGACCCCGGAGACTTTTGTAATTTTCAAAGTCCAAGCTGTTGGAACAAAAGTTTAAAAACTCTTCTCAAACTCTGAGTTTCAAGCCACTGAAAGCCCCCAAACAGGTTATTGTATAACTTGTGAGTCTGCTAAAAAAAGCAAAAAGGTATTTATGATGTCTGTAGTGATACATCAAAGTCTGCAGAAAAAGTAAAAGCTCCCACCGTATTAGCAGCTGGGTCCATTTGCGTGAACAGAATGGTTTTAAAAAGAGTGAGCATCTCAAACAGCTCTGGAGAATTTTCTTTTTCCGCCAGAGTACCTGGAACAATCCTGGCTCGATTTTCACATACGCCCTCTTAGACTCTATTTGGACAAGAGGTGTCCATTATATTTCATTTACTGTGCACTGAATGAGGTAGAGGTTCTGCAAAGAAAATGGTGTGTGACAGAAGCACAAAGACAAGAAGGAGGAATCAGATTCCAACCGTATGTTCAGGCACTGATTTTCACATTGTTTCTTGAGACACTTCTATTGTCCCTCCAACCAGAGAACAGCATCTTTCACTGAGTTAGGAGGATGGGTTTGATGACTGCTGCATTGAGTGGCTCTCTAAGAAGAACAAACTGCACTTGTAAAGGAGAATTTATGGGGAGGAAAGGAGGGACAGATTATATATAATGTCTGAGGTCTACCAAATGGAAGTACTTGAGTCACCTGTGTGCCCCAGGGCATAACCTTATTGTGGTTAGACCTGGTTGTGGATGGTGGTGATTGTTTAAATCTCTTCCCTAGAAACTGAGGCTGAATTGATTCCTCATCTTCGTCCCTTGAGGCATAGTGCTGAGATTCTGGCAGCACAGGAGTATTTACAGTCCCACAGAATTTTTGGTAGTGACAAGACTTATTATTCACAGCACTTGGCTAGAGAGAGAGAATCCCATTTTTTTCTTGACTTCCAGCCAGACCTCATTCTTATGAGTGGTGATAGTCTGCTCTGTATCATTCAAAGGAGAAAGCCTTTCAGAGATCTACATTTGGCTAAAAATCATTGTCTACATGAGGGTTGAGAGGGGATTGAAACATCTTGATGCATCGACCCAAGTGTCCACTTCTGCTTCTCAGTGAGGAGGGCTAGGCTAAACAAGCACTCCTCGCTGGGGTGCAGGCCTGTCCTGCCCTTCTGGCAGTCCTTGTCACTTCCCAGAAATTCTTGATCAGTGCAATTATAAGATGGGGTTAAGGAAGTTTTCAAATCAAGTGAGTCGTGGTTTCTGCGTGTCCTTCTATGTTCAAACCTCAAATAATCTTCTCCCACTCCTCTCCTAGCTTTTTCCCCGTGAAATGTCATTCAGATCACTTGAAAAACAACCTTAATTTCAAGACAGGTGTGTGCTATCTTTGTCATTTGACACAGGACAAATATTAGGGGGGGAAGAACAAACAAATGATAGCACGGTGCCCTGAGAGATCCTTCCCTGTCTTTAAGCACTAATAGATAATATTTCCTGCCAGCAGATACTACAGAGTTGTGAATCTCAAGAGTGAGAGTGCAAAACTGCACTCTCACTTTCTAACTGCAAATGCTGAAATATTTCTGAAATATTCTCTTTCTGTATAAAAAGTTCCCATATGAAGTCTCTGCCTGACGGAATTACTCTAATCATATTCTGTGTAATGAAAAAGGTTAACAAATACATGACTTTGCATTCTAAAAAGTTCTCAGCCTTTTTGTTTTTTAAAGCACAGCTACATCAAAAAGAAAGGAGTCCTTGCTACTGAGCATGAATCCCACTGCTCGTTCCAAAGGACCTGTATTGACCGGCCTGTGCTCTTAGCATTTGAAAAAACACTGTAATTTTTCCTTTGTTATTAGACTCACATACAGAGCAAAACAGAACCTAATTATTTATTATAGTTTTCCAGGATTTAGCATTTTATATTCCTTTCTCAATTTTCAGTATAATATATGAATTAGGTCTACTTTTCAATAGTTAAAAGCTGTACAAGTATGTTTTTGCTTTTCTGGTTTTTAAGGTTGGATAGGAGCAGTGGCTAAATGCAGAGCTGTAGGCTATTACTTACTCCAGCTAAAAGTCAAATGATCATGTATTTTCTGCTAAAGCAGATATTTCTTATTCTCTGCAAAGTGTTAAGCAGAAAGAAGAGACAATCCTGGATTGTGTTATTTCCACGTGTAAACATTTCTGAGTTCCAGCTGTAGTTTTTCCATCTTCAAGGACAAACTGATGTCAATTCAGACGAAGCTCCTGCATAGTAGGAAATGTGATTTGCTTGAAATGTAACACGGAAGGGCCAAGGTAAACTCTGTTTCCTGCAACCTTTGACTTTAAAGGTGAAAAGCCTGATAAAATATCTGAAGGTAAAATGGCTGCATTTTCTTTGGGCTTTGACTTTAAAGGTTAGATTTTAAACTGAGTGGCTGACCCCGAGGAAGCTAGTTTCAGAAACTGTTGTATTTTTTAAGTTATTTTTAGTACAGTGTTTTCTCCATACTTCAGACTAGATGTTTGAAGATTTGCTTCTGGTTCAGCTAGTTCAATGTTAAATGACTGTAAGCTTCTGCTTTTGTATCATTCAAATTTCTGCACTTAACCTACTTGAAAGGCTTGTTTCTGTCTGCAATGTCCTGATAGCAGCCAATTTTATCCTTGCGGCATGGAGGCTTCCCAACTACAAAGTCCTGACTGCCATTAATGTGCTCTCTCTTTTACTTGGGGCAATGGTTTTGTGTTCTTTCAAGCAAACTCAGGCATTTTCAGTTCCTTCTTGCCCATAATTGCATACATAGATTGTGTAACTGTTTTTTCTTACTAATTACAATCTGTACATCTTGGATTAACTTTTTTTCCCTACCATTTCTCCTTTCTGCTCCAGCTCTGAAGGGTCAATATAATTCTAATTGGGCTGAGAAGGATGTGACTCCTTCACTAGGTGCTTCATCAAATTCTGATCACAAAATCAATTCATATGAACTCCTTTCAGCCTATTGTTCTGTGATGCTCAGACTGGTCAAAACTGATGTTTATATTTGCTTTGCTGATGTAAAGCTCTCAGAGGAGGAGAAAGCCACTTCTGCTATTGAATAACACAAAACTAATTCCAACTCTTCCAGCATAAGCCCTTCACCAGAAAGTCCAGTAAGAACTCAAACTCTAATCTCCCATGAGCAACAAAACAAGACTCCTTAAAGGACAACATATTAAAACACTACTTTTGTGCAGAAGGCAAAGCAATTAAATACAGAACATACACTGACATACCTGGGAACCATGCTGTGCCTACCCTGTGGCTGAGACTAAGGCTCTGTTCACCAGACCTGTCAGACTTCAGACTAACTGGTCTTTTACAGCTCTAGAATCTGATTTTAGATGTTAAATGAGTTGGGAATTGATGACATTTTGGCAGATCTGCTTTTAAATTCAGTGAGATCCTATTCCACTAAGAATATTGAGCAAGACTTGCTGATATGGGTTATCCTTACTCTTTATCCTCCACCATATAACAAATGTCAGAGGTGCTGAGCAGGATGTACCCTTTGATTTAGGCAGTACATCTTGATAATGTACAAAGCCATGAGGAATGGTTTAGTGAAACGATGTGGGAATGCATTTGGGTAAAGTGAGGTCTGTTAAAGAATGATCATTACCAGAAGTTCAAAAGATGCAAGGTCACACTGAAATAACTTCATTTAAAGACGTGGTACCTACCTCAACTGTCTTGCAGGTCTCCTCCAGCTGTGTGACAATCCCTTGCATTCTGTCATTGCTCCCCACCAGGACTGCAATGCCATCACTCAGCTCAGACTAGGCAGTAAGGGGACAGTAAGCAGAAGAGTGTTAGGGGCTGTCACACTTCAGGGTGACACATCTAAGAGTGGGGAGCAGGGGACAAATAAGCCATACCCAGGATATTACTTCATCTTTCCACCAGAACTGAGAAAAATTGGAGCTTTATGTGCCCACAAGATATCTGTTTGTATTTTGACATTTGTTTCCTCCCTCAACACACTATGAAGACATTAGGAATTTTAAATGGAGAAGAAACTGTGGTTTGGAAAGAGGAAAGCACTTTGTTCTAGAAAGTTCTTCTAGATGCTTTTGTCTGAAGTGTTATTTCAACAGGCCCCAAATATTTCCATTGGGTTTGTTGAGAGAAAAGACTCTTGAGGGGTTGTTTTTTCAGTGTCTAGCCACACCACTGTGATATTTCCCTGAGGACTGTAGCTCTTGGCCTTGGAATATAGAAGAGGTGGCCCATGGACCTGGAGGGACCAAGGTGTTATAGAGTCCCTGGCGTGCAGGGAGTGGGGTTGGGGTTGTGGTGAGAGGGGGCAGGAGAAAAGGAAGAGAAGAAGGTAGAGGCTGAGCCACTGGCACGAGGGAAATGAGTGGAGGAAGAAAATAACCTAAGTGTGGGGGTGGAGATGATTGTGAGATATCCCTAAGAGAGACAAAGAAGCCAGTCCTAGGGAACTTGGGAAGGGTGCTGGGGCTGCAAGGGGCCCTTGGCACACCCTTGTAGTAACAGAGACAACTGTGTTCATGGTCTCCACAGCTCTGAACAGGATCCTCTGAGGCCTTCACAGCTCTGTAAAGGCTCCTTTGAAGCATGCATCCTGCAGCTTCCAGGTTACGCCTCTCATCTTGGGCATGACAGCCCCTTTCCATGGGCACTCTGGAAAGGAAGACACAGCTTGCAAATCTCCACACAAAATGGGTGATGGGGGCATGGATTTAGTTCAATAAACTTCTTCTTCTCCCACCTTTTCTGATTGAAAATGATGTTTTTAACTCCTTTCCTAAAGCAACTCCTCATTTGTAGTTTACACACACACGAGTATCTGTGTGACAAAGTTGGAGGCTGGGATTGAAAACTTGGCCTGTCTGATTGCTTGCCCCACTGGGGCCCTTCAGAAAAATGAGCTGTTTATCTCAGGAGGATAACCCAGTGAGTCAGGTTTTAAATTAACACTGTATTAAAAATAAACAAGTCTTTTACTGGTGACAGCAAGGGCAGAAGATGTTAGGTACATCCTGTGCTGCCAACTATTGAATATTTCTTCATTCACTTGCAGGAGGAGATTTTTCACTTAACTTTTCTTAAAAATGGCATGCTTAAATGTAAAAGTGTCTGATAGATAACTACTTGATTTGAAATGCTCTGTTCTCGTTCCAGTTCTTAGTGTTGAAAATACCACTTGTTTGTCTGATCTAAAAGCACTGCAAAAAAGGGATTAGGAACTCAAAAGAGAGATCCTCAGCTCCACATCAAAATTGGGACAAATTGTAATATCTTTTTGTGTGATCATTTATAAATTTATTTTCCTGTGTTTCTAAACAGACTTGTAAGAGCCATTCACTCACACTCAATGGTGGCAAAGGCAACCCCAGACTCCTTCGGGAACTCACAGAAAGCTCATGGGAATACATTCCCATTGATGGTCCTGTCAGTTTCTTCAAGGACTTTGAGAAACAGAAAGATATTTACCTTTTGTTGCTGGTAAACATTTGTGAGAGGAGCAACCTGACAGTCTTTGTGGGCACCAAAGATTTTGCACAAGGAGCAGGTGGGCATTTCACAGTTCAAACAATAAATATTAATTCTCTCATCTTCGTGCTCTTCACACATTGGCTGGTCACACTTCCTGTCAGGTCTGCGAAAGAAAACATTTGTTTAAAACAAAGATGGTGCTCATGAGTTTCTTCTAACAATATTTAAGAGTGTTAGCATGAAATATGGTACATTTGTATAGCAGCACCCAAGGCTGACTGAATGCGCAGTGTAGACTTACACCTGCCACATGGGATGACAAGAGACAATGGTAGAGCTTAATGTCCTGACACAATATGATGTGGTGACAAACCAGCAACATGACTTCATATGGGGATTTCCATATGAATGAGGAATATGACTGGGAGTGTGACACAGTGCTTGCTCATTTTAAAAAATTTAAATAACCTCACTAAGCCTGGACTCAGACTACTCATGTATTTTAATTAGCATGTTATCTGTCTGAAATATGAAACATATGTAATTTCTTTGCGGTTCATCATGCAAATTGCTGTGCACTTAGCTTAATGCAGCAAAGCTTTTATGTGGGAGACTGATTTTAAGCAAGAGCTATAGATACTGATGAACCTTTTGGCCCTTAACTCTAAATCTCTACTATGAGCTCTGTGATGCCCTGGTCAGGCAATACCAAACAGCACTGGGTCCTTACAGTCTTTACATTAGGCTAGCAACCAAAACAAGGTGTCACACAAATTAATTTCAGCTGGGTGGCACATGTCTAACTTTACAGTGTCAAATGTTTTAGCAGTAGTTTATTCATCTGTACCCAGCAGAAAGGGGATGGGCTACACAAGTGTTCTTCTCTTGTGCTAAGCCAGGAACTGTTGCCACATTATAGCTCAGTCTGATCTTCTCTTCACCAAAACAGTTTATCTTTATACACCCAAATTTGCAAAACCTGCTGTCTTGGGATAATTTAGTTTTAGCTTCCTTCAAATGAGCCAATTAACCAACATTCCCAGTACAAGTAACAGCTCCAGTCTGGTGTGTGTGGGCAGGGCGGCGCTTTCCTGAACCCACACTTCAGGCTTAGCACCCTGAGCACATCTATGGCATCACATGAGTGTGTAAGGATGTTGTACAGAAGATAAGGGCTAATAGACTGATGGAAAGAGTGTGTCTAGGGTTCAAGCCTTCAAAAGCCACCACTGTTACTATGGCAATGTTAAATATTTTCAGCATAAACCATAATCCCCTTCTGCTACTGTTTGGAAAGAGAACTATGACTTACCTGTAGCAAGTGGAACAATGGCATAATATAAATATATTTTTCATCATTAGGAACTATGGAATTTAATGGAATTACATGGGAACATTTTTTAAAGCCCTTCTACAGATCTCTGTAGCAAGGAGGCAACCAGCCATTCTATTAAAACTTAAAATGTATGGAAAAAGAAAATAATTATTTTATATTATATTACAGCAGAGTCTTTTCATACCATTTGGTAGAGTGGATACAGCATTTATTTTTTTATGACAAAGTATAAATTTTCTCTTCTGAGGGGAATGGAATATGATCAGTTAGATGCATTAAAAAAAATCTGGCAAGAAACAAAATGTCTCACACATGCATGATTTTTTTTTTTTTAATTCAAGAGTGTGCTGGGACTTAAAGGATTCATAAGGAAAATCTGTAATCTGTAATATAACATGTTATACCAGAATAAAACAAGACAAACACTTCTGGAGAAAGCCTGAGTTATTTTGGTCAGATTTCCAGCATTCGTTAACATAAGGCACTTTATCAAATCCAGCATTGTTTCAATGCTAGTCAAAAAGAGATGTGTCTCCTCCATAAAAAATGCTTTACATTGTTTGCGGATTACTGCAAACAGCCTCTAATATATTCATGTCATAGTGCACCAGTGGGAGGGGCCATGTGTGAGTGCAATACAGTGAATTTCAAAGTGATTAATTAAGCCTGAGATAGCAGCTCTTCGTACAAATATTTACAAGATCAGAGCCAGAAACTACTAGAATTTTATTGGACACTGGAACAGTGCCACATGCATGAAAGACACATTGCATAGAGCAAAAAGGTGATGGTGTCAAGCAAGTTCAGCCAGAAGCAGCCAACCTTCAAAGGTGCCGCGAAGAGCTGGAAGCAACCTGGCAGAACTCCCTGAACTAGTGGGGCCCTGAAGACAGTGTCAGAAGACTAGAAATAAACAGATTTACAGTCTCCTCCCCAGGCAGTGCAAAAGGAGAAATTTTTAGCACACCACTCCCTGACTTCAGACGGGATCCTCTTAATCTATGTCGGGGTAGCAAAGGCCAAAACATAACCTCTAAATTTAAAATGGAGATTGCTTCTGAAACAGGAGATTAAAGAGTAGCTGATAGGAAAATGACTGCATGGCTTTAGTAACAGAAAAGATTCACCACAGCTGTGCTGGTGACCAGAGAAATGTCAGGTTGCTGAAATGTCCTGATAACTTTGTGGTCTCATTCTCTTTGAAATGCTAAACCTGTGTTTGACTGCCAGAGGCTTATTCTTTCCCATTGAAATTGTGTTTGGACAGCACCTGAAGAACTGACTGGGTCCTGTTCTGGACGGCCCAGTACATGAAGACACTGACATACTGAAAGGAGTACAGAAAAGGGCCCTGAGCATGATTCAGGGTCTACAGCAGCTCTCCTGTGAGGAAATGTTGAGAGAGATGGAACTTTCAGTCTGGATCAAAGAAGGTTAAGGAGAATTTTAACAATGACCTTGATCTTATCAATACCTCTGATTATCTAAACACTTGAATGGAAGGTGTAATGTGGATGGAGTCAGGCACTTTTCAATGCCAGGACCAGAGGCAATGGGCACACACTGAAACACGGGAGGTAACCTCTGAAGATCAGGAAACACTTTTTTACTGTGAGTGACTAAGCACTGGCACAGGTTGCCCAGGATGGTAGTGGAGTTTCCATCCTTGAAAATACTCATAAGTCATCTGGACATTGTCCTGGGCAACTGGCTCCAGGTCCTGCTTGAGCAGCTGGTAGTTGGACCAGATGACTTCCAGAGGTTCCTTCCAATCTCAACCATTCTGTGACTGATTTGGTGGGGCAGTGCAAAGTTTCTGGGCACATGAAAAAGCACACTTTAATTAAGAATATAGTAAGACCTTAGGAAAACTGCTGTTACAAAGCATGTTTTCTGCAGGATTTTTTCCAAAAGGCTTCTACTGAAATCCTGAATCTAATTTTGATAGTGTTTTTACTGAGAATCCTAAGACAGCTGTAGCCCTTCCTGTGGCATCACATCACCTGATGTCTGCACCTGGTCAGGGGATGGAGAGCATCTGCATGACTTTGTGAGGCACAGTCAGGTCATAGTGAAGCTATGAAACTGCATTTGCCACAGTATCAATCTTGGTCATGCAGTGCTAATGACTGGCCCCCACTTGACTTCACACTGCTCACCACAACCCTTTGAGTCTGGTAATACAGCAAGGTTTTGGTCCAGTTCACTTTCCACTCTCCACTCTAAGCCTTATTTACACAGGTTTTTTTTTAATAAAGATGTCACAAGAGACAGTGTCTGAAGTCTAGATAAACAGTATCTATTGCTCTCCTCTCATGTCCTGAGTTAGTCCACTCACTATAAAAAGGCTATCAGATTAGTCATGATGATTTCCTCTTCATAAATCCATGCTGACTATTTCTAATCACCTTCATGTTATTTATATATTTGGAAATGATTTCTAGAAGCATGAAATACTTTCTAGGGACCAGTGTGCATAACTAGCCTGTAGTTCCCTTCATTCTCCTGTTTGCATTCCTTGAAAATTGGAGAAACATTTGCTTTCTTCTAGTCCAGTCCACAGGAAACCATTCCAATTTTCTTTCAAAGATTATTGAGTGACCTTGCAATAATATAAGTCAGCTCCATCACCACTTATATCTGCCTCCCACCAGGATGTCCAAATTTTTTTTATATTCTCTAACCTGATCCTCCTCCACCAAAGGTGAGTCTTCCTTGCTCTAGACTTTCCCACTGGTCTCAGTGGGATTCTGTAAAACTCAATTTAATAGTAAAGTCTGAGGTGAAGGTGGCATTGAGTACATTGGCCTTTTCTATGTCCTGTGTTACCTGAGGTCCTGCTCTGTTTAGCAGAGAACTCACAGTTTCCCTAATCTTCCTGCTGATGAAGCTGTAGAAGCTCTCATTAACTTCCATGTACCTCATCAAAATCAGTTCCAGGTGGACTTTGGCTTTTCTAACTTCATCAGTGTGTGCTTGGGGAGTGTCTCAAAATCTTGCTGAATCACCTGGCCATCTTCTTTTTGCTTCTTTTTTAATGTTTTATTTTTATCAGGAACTCTCTATTAATCAACACAGGTATTTTGTCACTATTATTTGAGTTCCTGTATATGGGGACAGACCATTTTTGACCTTGGAGGAAGGTGGTCCTTGAAAATCAGGCACAATGATGGACTCTCAAAAGCAATGAAAAGCCCACCAATATCCAGGGTAAAAATGGGGCTTGAAAAATGAGAAGGCTATAGAAGTTCATGTGTACATAAGAATTCCTGTAGCTCTGTTACACTACTATCATGAATGCGCAGCCCAAGAAAACTATTGGTGCAGGTGAGCTTGGGGCTTTGTCTCATGGGGAGTTGGAGAAGATCCAGATGATCTCACCCCTCATCTCTTTCACTGCACAGCTTGTGGGGCTCCTCCTCCTTGGTGGCCTGTGGTCAGGGAGCGTATTTCCCTGGCCCAGCCTGTCTGAGCTCCCCAGATGACCCTGCAGCCTGGCAAGGAGATATATCCTGCCTTGGGAATTTGGGCTAAGACCTCGGAGGTGTCAGGGACAGAGACTTCTGGCAGTGCTGCCTATGGGGCCCTGCAGGACATCAGCACCATCACAGAGCCCATGTAGGCTGCTCTCAGCACAGCCTGGTCCCTGCTGCACTCTCTGCTCTATCTGTGCTTGGGGCTGCAGGGACAGCCTGTTCCTCAGGCTCTCTCTGGTAAGTGCAAGGCAGAAAGAGTGCTTGACCCTCCCTGATCAGGATTCAGCTGGTAACAAAGCCCAAAGCACCTTTTGATCTGGAATAGCCAGCTGAGATCATTAGAACCTGCCAGATTTCACAAAAAGTCACAGCCTCCCGTTGCTACCCTTTCCTGGTGACAGCAGGGGTCCTGATGTTCCTCAGATAGTTTAGGTGATCAGTGGCCTACAGATTTTCAAAGACTGGTTTAATTTTTAGCCAACTCAATTTCCACTGTTTTCAGTCCTTTACTGTCTTTTAAAGCTTTTTACAAGCCACCTCCTGCTTGAAGAATTCTTCCCTTGTGTTGCTAACACATTCTAAATTGGGCAACAGGCTATGCTGCCATCAGCTGGAATTTGATGAGCAATGGGATAAAAGACCATATGATGTGATACTCAGTAATAGGAGGGGCTGCGTATGAGGGCTCAGGCGGACTCTCCCAACCTCAGTGCATCTCCTGCCCCAGTTTTTTTAAAAAAAACACCAATTCCTTACTTCAAATAGAAAATCCAATTACAAAAAACTAAAAAACAAGCAAAAATCCCAACCAAACAAAAACCAAACAAAAACCAACCAAACCTTTTGAAACAAGCTATTTTTGGCTAAGGAGTAGTCAAAGTTTTCTCCCTTTACTCTGCCTTTACTCTGAGTTCATGTGGAATGCAGGTGGGAGCTGGCCTCATTCTGGCACATGCAGTTATAGTGAATTATACCCAGAGGAGAACTCAATGGGAAGAGGTTCCTGTCTGGAAATCACACGTGCTACCAGTTTGAACGGCTGTTTTGGGAGGAACAAGGGAGCAAAGATCATATCTCACCCTTCCTCCTACATATCTCTGCCAGACCCCAGTTGCCAGGATGGAAGAGACTGGTACAAAAGGAAGAAGTGGGGAAGACTTGATTTCCCTTGACTTTTTTCTTTCAGTGGGACAGCACAGGCAAAAGCCATGAAAGATCTGCTCACACTCTCAGGGAAGCCCAAGGAATGTTAGGCAGAGGGAGATAAGCAGCTGAGGCCCACAAAGGACCAAATAGTTTAGATAGTGCTGCTATGTGCTGCTGCTGCTATGTAACCCTGACAATAACTTTCATTCTAAGGACATACATGAAGGTTAAATAAGCACTTTAACAGATTAAATAAACAAGTCTTTTGGACAAATATATAAGCAAATCTATGTTCTTTCTTTATTTTTTATTTTTTTTTATTTTCCCATTTTATTCATCATTACTTTCATGGAATCTTTAAATAATCTACTAACTCTACTAAACCTATTCTTACATTTCTCATTTCTACTTAATTGTATTTTGTACCAATTCCCCATGAACTACATAGGAAAGAGGACCTGCCTTTTTTTTCTTTTTCTTTTTTTTTTTTTTTTAGTTAAATACAACTCTGAGCTGAAAAAAAAACCCAAAAAACCAAGGAAGACATGAGGCCACACATGTCCAGCTTGTTTGGTCAAAAGCAAAGTCCACAATTGCAGCTTTGTTGATTCATTTCCTCTGAGATTTTCCTGACTAAAATAATATTTGAGTATCAATGACACACACAGGGGTAGCTGACCTTTACTTGGCATGGAGCGCAAAGGGCAGCAGAAAGGACAATTTTAAGCCAACTTCGTGCTCTCCAGGGCTTTGGAGCTCCAACCTATGCCCAGCTGCAACAGCCCTCAGAGAGATTCAAACAGCTAAGAATAGCCAAAGCTACTGCCAGGCTCCAAAGTGTTGTCTCTGCTGGTGACTGTCCTCCTCTGCTGGAGGAAGCATCCTCCACCATCCCTGGGTTCTGTTGGTTGCGTCCATCTGCACCAGTGATGCCATTGTCTCTCTGTCCTGGGAAATCCAGCTCTTTGCTCTGGTGGGATCAAAAGATCCAGGGAGCATGGCCAGGATTACAACTGCCAGGTGAACAAAACACCTTGTCATACAGAACCAACACTAAGTATTTATGCTGGTGACAAAAAACAGCTTCCCTGGGCAAGAGCTCCTTGCTTGGTGGCCTGGGGCCAGGTTAACTTCATCATAGGATCACAGACTTATAGAATGGTTTGGGTTGGAAAGAACCTGAGAGATCATGTTGTTTCAAAGCCTCTACCTTGGGCAAAGACACGTTTCACTAGCCCAGGTTGTGTGAAGCCCCATCCCTCCCGGTCCTGAACACTGCTAGGGATGAAGCATCCACAACCTCTCTGGGCAACCTGTGCCAGTGCCTCACCACCCTCATAGTGAAGAATTTCTTTCCATATCTAATGTAAACCTATTCTCTTTCAGTTTAAAGCCTTGTCCTACCACTTCATGCCCTTGTCAAAGTCCCTCTCCAGCTCTCTTTTAGCCCCCTTTAGGTACTGTACCCCTTTAGGTACTGTAAGGTGCTATAAGGTCTCCCCAGAGCCTTCACTTCTCCAGGTTGAACAACTCCATCTCTTTCAGAGGAGAGATGCTCCAGCCCTCTAAGCATCTTTGTGCCCCTCCTCTGGATCCACTCCAGCCGGTCCATATCTTTCTTGTGCTAAGGACTCCAGAGCTGGATGCAGTACTCCAGGTGGGGTCTCATAAGAGCAAAGTAGAGGGAGAGGATTATCTCCTTCACCTTCTTCCCTGCTAAGTTCTCCACAGTGGCAGCATGAATCCAACCCATCCCAAGGAAACAAAGATGAGAAAACATTTTTCTATTTCTGGATTCATTACATATCAAATGCAAGAAATTACCATTCAGGAGTAATCTTACTTTTAAGAATTAACCCATTCCCCTGCCCTGAGGTCTTGATTCTTGTGCACAGCCACAGAGCTCTGATACATATTGTTTACCACTCTTTTATGGACTCCTAAATAAGACTTAATTTCATAAGTTCACATCCCAAACTGACAGGAATGGAGATATTTTTAACAGAATTTTCATTTGGCATTTTCATTATAATGCAGGGTACCTTCTGTGTGAAATTCAGTTTTCTTCTTGTTTGCACTGTCTGTACCTCAGGATTTTCTAATAAGATTTGAAATACTTTCCCTTCTTTATCATGAGAATGCTCAGGTTAAGGAGAAAAGAAATGTATGAACTGTTTTTGTAATAAATGATGTTAACCATGATACTTTTCCCTTAATCATGTGAGTTAGCTGTGCTGACCACAAAGGTGTTGCTTGCACAGGTAAGTGTTGTTCATGTGAATAAATATGGCCCAATCCTCTGCTGTAAGTGGAAACAGGGAAGCTCAGCATCTATTTGGATAGTTTTTTGTCCTCAGTGAGAGCTGACTTCATGGTGCAGCAGATAGTCAGGCATGGCAGCACAACCCCTTTCTGCTTTTCCAAGAGACAAAACAACAAAATCAACCTCACGTGTGTCCTCCGAAGGACATGAATTCCCTTGTTACCTTGTGGACTCCTGCTTGTAGATGTCAATGATGTTCTCCACCAGCAGGTTCCTCTGCAGCCCGTAGACACCGTGTCGGTCCAGGACCACCTCGTGCCTGCAGGAGGGACAGCGGAAGCGGCCTCCCGATGCCACAGTTGTACCTCCCCTGGTTGGCAGGTAGGGGTTGGAGGCCTGCTCTTGCCAAGCAGCACAAGGAGAGGGAATTATGGCCATGCAAAACCATGAAAGCCTCTTCTAAAAGCACCAAATGTTAGGAAACCATTTGTCACTATGCCAAATGAGAGGGTAATTCCAGCATGCCACCCCTGGGAAAACACCTGGTGGCTGCTGGGCGAGGGGCCAGTCCCTCAGTTCACGCTTGGCCACATCACCACAGCCAACACGTGTCACTTTCACCTGCTGTGAGCTCAGCCCTGGCCCCCGGATACATCAACTTTGGCCTTAAATCACTTCCCCCCACCTTGTCTCACCAACTGTTAAAACTGATCTACCAAAACATGTAAAAACTCTTCTTTCCCATTCATTCCAGCCAGTCCTGCTTGGGAAGCAGAGCTCTCTGTGGGAAGAAACCTACCTGGAAGATGTCACTGGCGCACTTCCGACAGAGGTTGTGCTGGCAGGGCAGGATGACCACTGGCTTGGTGAACATCTCCAAACAGATGGGGCAGATCAGCTGTTTCTCCAGGTTATCCATAGTTTGCTGCTCTTTGGAGAACGACTTGTAGCTCAGGGAGGTGCTCATCCCTAGCTTTTCCTGGGGCATATGCTCAGGGCCACGGCCTTGTGGAGAGGTTTTGGGGTTAATTTCCCTTGAAATAAGTCCAAGGCTGTGCTGCGATCAGAAGCTCTCTGGGTTGCTCGGGCCAGAGGACATTGTTTGAACGAGGGGCCGAGCAGAGCCGGGGCTGTTTTTAGCAGCGCTGCGTCACCAGCTGCCGTCCTGCCGTGCCCATATATGCGTGTGAGAGCAGGACAGGCTGGGACAGGTGACGGCTGCCGGGGGAGGGGGGGAGGCCGGAGAGGCCCTGGCTCTCCTCACTCACACATGGCAGCCTTCACCCCTTGAGGAGTTGGGGGAGTGATAAGCAAAGGCCATCCGCTCCCTTTCCTTATCTTTGCAGGTCAATGGAGACTGAAGGACTTGTCCCAGCCTGTGCAGCCACGTCCTGTAGCCTAATAGACATTCTCTTGTAAGCAAGCAGCCGTGGCCATGAGAGGCAGAATGTAATTTTGGCCATGTGCTTTGGCAGGCTCCAGGATCCTACCTTCCCAAGGTGTGAAGTACATGTGGTTACTGGAGAAGACAATAGGAGTGATGCCTGCTCTGGAGCTTGAACACTTCAGGGTGTAAACATCTCACTGCCTTGAAATCCAGACAAATAAAATTGTCTGCTTGTAACCGTGAATAAGTTTGTTCTGGTAAAATTTTGGTCTTAGGAGCTGTAACATAAAAATCCAACATGACTAATTGTGCCACTAACTCCATAGTCAGGTTAAATATGCATGAAAAACATTATTTGGATTTCCTGATGAGAAAAAAACCAGAAGAAATACAGTGTGAAAGGCTTTCATTTGTGCTGCTAGAGAATAGGTACTAATTGTATATGCTCTCTCTGCGATAGTTTAATTCAAATATATTTTAGTTTTGGGCACTGCTGTGTTTATATCTGTTTATTAGACACTGATATCCCTTTCAGCTTGGCACTTGTTCCAGAGTTATTTTTAAAATGACAATTTCCCAGATAATTTGTGACATGTGATGCCTGATCTTAAGGGAAAGCCATCTGTGCTTCTACTTGCCAATAATTTATCACACAACTGTACAAGCAATAAAAATCTCATCCCCAAATTTAAGCCAAAGTCCCTGCATTACTGTATAATATCACTTTGCCACCATACTGTACATGTAATCAGAATATTTTCTTCTCTTTTAGTCAATAACTACAATAGTTTCTCAGTATCTTGTAGAAACCTTTAATGTTTATTCTGTTTTATGACTGTATAGTGCTTGCATCTGAAAAATGCAGTAGAGCAGCTGAGTGAATACCCTACACATCCAGATTCTAAAGCAGGGCCCTCAGTCTGTATGCAACACCAGTCTGGAAACTGTGCACTTCAGGAAAATATAAAAGTGAAGGTTTTAATGGATTTCTGCATGAAAATGAATACTATCCTCTGCATGCAATTGTAATAAATAACATTAAATGAAATGTATTATTGACTATTTTATTTTCATCGCCTCACATGCTTCTTAAGTGTTTGAGTGAACTCCTGTACTCATTCACAGCCCACTGAGCTGGAAATTCCCCTGTGTAAACTTACACACATTTGTCAGCAGTCCTATAGAAGCGAATTGATTTTTCTAAGTCTTGCATTCATGGGAAATTAGTCATGGTTTAGTTAAACCCACTTGAAATCACTCCTTTGCTTCAACTGCCTGGTGTGCACAAGAGCCTGGAGTCCAGTGGGAAAAGCTGCTCTGGCAGCTGAGCTGCGGACAGCTGGGGCTTTTGGCAGGGCTGGCAGGGAGCCTTCCCTGGCAGCAGCAAGAAGATATTTCTCTTCTTTCCCTCCCCTCCATAGCTGGGTCAGAGGTGACTTTTGCATCTGGAGGAATCTGAACGCCTCATTCTTGCCCTCCTAACTTTGAGTCAGCTGCCCCTTCCACAGCAGAACCTGCTTCAATAAGGGGCTCTGAATTAGATGACGAAAGCCATCCTTATCTGACAGGGCAGGAACTTCCACCTTACTGCACAGGCAGAAACAGGGAAATTCTGGAGAGAAAAACTGAAGGCTAGAAATGTCAGCACACAACACATCTGCAAATGCTGATGTAGGGAAGGAGGTGTTCATGGCAGGCAAAAAAGGCCATGCTGGCCCTTTGGAGAATGAACCGAGGGACCTCTCCCGGTGTAACATGCCTCTAGGATGAAATTCTGGTGAGTTTAGGTTTACTTACCCACAGTAACCCTCAGAAGCCTTCTGTTAACTGGCTGAGCAGGACATCTGATGCATCTGAAGAGGACATCTGGTAGAGAAAAGGTGAGGGACAGTGTGCTGGTGGTTGTCTCCTTTCTGTGTGCTGAAGCATGTTAACACAGACAGGTAACAAACAGTACAACCAAAAAGAGGAGTCAGCAAAACCAAGATAAACCCACCTTTTGTAACCAAGCCTGAGCTGAAATATTTTTCTGCAGATGTGAAAAATTAGTACAGGTTTTTCTGACAAGGTGTTATGAACCGCAACAATAAATTATAGGTAAAGTAATGCAGAAGCTTAACCAAACTTGCAAAGGCAGGATGAGAAATGCCAGGAAGGCCACACATTGTATGACCAATTTGCAACAAGGAGGAAAAGAGCCAAGTCCAAGATACTGAGAAAAAACAGGAAGATCCTGCAGCTGGTCTTCAGCAGGGACTACTTAGTATAAGTCTCAAACAACTTGCGCTGAGAAAGAGCCTGGCACCCTCCGATCTCTCCTGGCAGCCCTGTCCCCCTCCTCTTCCTCCCCTTCCACTCCTGCAGGGGAAGACCACCAGCACACACAGCTGTCCACCTCTGAGGAGACACCAAGTCAAGCCATCTCTCAAGGGACAAAGAAAAGGCAAGAGGATTTGCTTTAACACTCCTTCTGGACAGAAAATATGGATGACTTCCAGCCATCACCAAGAAGAGATTTTTTTTTTTTTTCCAATATTGCTTGTCTGGGAGTGTTACACAGCTTTGTTGACATAACCAGAACACTAATTCCTAAATATAGTTTTGCTTTTACAGACATTACTTCTAACTCCTCTATTTTGCAGCTGAATATCAGCTTGTGGCCTGTGCACTGATGGCCTGGAACCTGGAAAGCTGGCTGCAAAGCAGTGGGTTTAGGAGAGGGATTTGGAGAAGGAAGGAGAGGTTGAATGATGTCCAGGTTCAGGTTTCAATGCCATAATGGCATCTCTGGGGTTTGGATTCACAGAATTCCCCTCTGCAACCTCTTATCTTGTACCAGAGTTGTGAAGCTTTTGTGTGTCACTCAGAAAATCAGCCCTGTGGCTCTCTCACATGACTGGAAAACAAAGAGAAAAATCATATTTTGGCCAGAGGATGCTGTCAAAAATAAGCTCCCACATGACTTGCCTCCCCAACGAGCCTGCAGAGACAAAGTACATTCTGCAAGGAGCAGGCTCCTTGTCCAGGCATCCTGTCCTGGACATAGTGGGTGATGAGAAGCATCCTGATCCATGGGATGACGCCAAGTGCCTTGGCCTGCCGCCTCACCTTCTGTCTGTCCTGGGGGTGAGCAAGCACCCTGCCACCCAGCCCAGGAGAGGGAAGACCTCTACACTGGCATCTGCCTAAAGCAGATGGGAGCTGCCCATCATTCCCTGGGAAGGGATCAACACCCACCCCCACCCCACTGCCTCCAGGAGCTCCCCACAATCCTGAAGCCGGTCCGACACACCTGCATGCTTCCCACAACAACCCAGCCGCTGGAAGAGGACAGAGCTGGTGGGTGCTTGAGCAATACAACATCCTAACAAAAATGAGGCTGCCACTTCCAATTCTGCTCACCCAAATGTGAGACTTAGGGCAAAATGATGGTGCATCCTTCCCCTCTTCCCATACTGATAACTCTGCTTGTTGTTTTGACTGAAAAGGTTTGCATTTTCAGCCAAGCATCCCTGGGGAGGCAAGGGGATGTTCTCCATCAATCTCACCTTTTGTCTGTGCCCATTCACCCTGCTGTGAACAGTCCCTCAGGAGCGGGTGGCAAGCACTGGCATTCCCACCTACAAGCCAGCATGCTGGAGATTCAGATTTCACTTACATTGGCAACAACTTACTGAGCCGACAAGCCAGCTACAAGATGAAGCCCTCCTACCTATACAAGTGCAAACTACAAATTATATTTTGCATTTCATGATTTTATTGTGATCCATATACACTCCGTGATAAATACTGAGACTACTCTTGTGTGTGATTCAATTTATGCAGCCAAAGAGAGCTTTTGCAACAGAGACAAGTGCTTTGAAAAACAGTTGCTTTTTGAGGCTGACTTTTTTTCACTCAACACACACACACACACACACACACACACACACACACACACACACACACATATATATATATTTGTCTTTGTGTACCTCATATGTGATGACAGGCCATATGCGGTCAGTATTTGGAGACCTTCTAAAAACAGTCTGAGGGCTGGTTTCAGATCTCCAAGAAAACAAAGACCAGCACAGGAGATAATGACATCTTTAGAAAGTTTCTTTTGCACATGAAATCACAGCAGAAAAGGAAAGCTCAAAGCATTTCCAAGGGTGAGTCACTGGGAGCACATCAAATGTACAGGACATGAGATTTCAGGCACAAACTGCAAAGACCACACAGAGGGAGGATGTCTGTCCTTTTCTTTTTAATAGAGGGTGGACACTGCCCTGAGCTGAACTGTGCTCAAAAGCAGCCTGCTCTGGGCTTATCCACACTCAAGGACCTGGATTGCAGCAAAACAGTGGAAACATGGGATAAAAGGGCATATGTATTAGATAATAACTTCTGTACCAAATTAATCAGTGGTACCAACATGAATTATAGCAGACAAACCTCAGAGATTTGGATTAAAAGACCCTGAAAACAGTCAGAGTCTGTGGACAAACTGCATCAAGGACTCATTCCTGCATGCTGTGGTTCTTCAATCATTGTGATACTAAAACTTGAGGTCACTGCCCCATGTGTCTGCCTGGGACAAAGAAGATCATTTGGCTTCCTTCTGCCCTCCAGCAGTGCCAGCAAGCCAGCATGAACCTGTCACCCAGCTTTAAGGGACACAGGGAAACAAAGCCCTCCTGAAAGAAGGTCCTGGTTTCCTCA